GAGCGCGTCCACCGAGAAGGGATCAGCCTACTTTTAGTAGCACCCTGCTGGCTGACCCGGATATGGTTCTCGGACATTGTAGCACTGCTAGGCGGCCTCCCGTGCATGCAGGGGGCACAATATTTCACCCCCGGCCAGAGCTATGGAACCTTTGGGTCTGGCCCCTGAAGGGGCTCGGTACTTAGAGACTGGCCTGTCAACAGGTGTTGTCGAGACCCTACTCAGCTCCAGGGCTCCTTCCACCTAGAGACTGTACAGCCTAAAGTGGAGTGTGTTTTCCACTTGGTGTAGAGAATGTGAGGTGGACCCAGTTAACTGCCCAGTGGCTTCAATGCTGGAGTTCCTCCAAGATCGTTTCTCCGCCGGTCTTACCCCATCCACACTTCAATGGTTCTTGAAGGATTGGCTGAGGCCCCCTTTGAGCCACTGGAGTCGGCCGAGGCAAAGAACCTGACCTTCAAGGTGGCCTTTCTCCTTGTCATCACTTCTCTGAGGAGAGTGGGGGATCTCCAGGCCTTGGCTATATCACCAATTTGCCTGGAGTTTGCCCCTGGCGGAGTTAAGGACATCTTACATCCTAGACCGGATTATGTACCCAAGGTGCCGTCTAGTGCGGCACGGCCATTGGTTCTTCAGGCCTTCCATCCTCCACCTCATGAGATGGCGGAAGTGGGGAGACTTTACCTGCTCTGCCCAGTCAGAGCTCTAAGGAATTACTTGGAGAAGTCTTCCCAGTGGAGGAAGTCAGACCAGTTGTTGGTGTGCTTTGGTTCACCCAAGAAAGGGCTGACTGCATCTGAACAGACAATCAGTAAATGGATTTTTCAGGCTATAGCCACGGCTAATCAGGTGCGCAATTTGCCTTCACCTATGGCCATGAGGGCTCATTCCACCAGGGGCATGGCCTCCTCGGTGGCCCTCCTTTCTAGCGTCTCGATTCAAGAGATCTGCGAGGTGGCCGGGTGGGCCACCCCGCACACCTTCATACGTTTCTACAGTCTGCAACTCCTCGTGATGCCTGGCGCCAGAGTGCTCGCGTCCTAAGTGTGCCTGGTCCTCCCAGCTTCACACTAGGATGGGCGTGATTTTGGTGTGGCATAGTGGGCATTTCGTTTCCCAAAGTGTCATAACGATGACACAGTGCGAGTTCCCTCGAAGGGGAAAGTCTCGGGTTACGACTAGGGATGTCCCGATCCGATACTCAGGATCGGTATCGGCTCCGATCCAGCCATTTTTGCGGGATCGGGTATCGATCAGACGAGGCCGATCCAAATCCGATATTGTGTGTATACTATTATGTAATTGTTAAGTTTATAACAGCATTTGTTGTCATAGATTATGATCATATATTTTGGGGATTTGTTGTTTATCTTTATAATGAAGCTGTCTGTATTAAGTAGATTGTGTTTAACACACACAAGAGTGATAATCAGTTTAACACATAGTTATAGAAATTCTAATTGCTTTAAAAAAACTGTACTGGTATTTAAAATGTAGAATACTGTTGTTTAAATTGTTTTAACTTTAAACCTGTTGGTAGCTAGCTAGCTTTAAGTACTGAAGTACCTGCATTTTCTTTTATATATATGTATATATATATATATATATATATATATATATATATATAGTGTTTGAATAAAGGGTGGGTTGTGAACTATATACTGGAGGTATATTTTAAGGGGCTAATTGAGAAAATTGCTATATTTTTTATTAGTTTATTAAAAATAAAATAAAAATATCGGATTAATATCGGTATCGGCAAAAGCCAAAACTGTGGCATCGGTATCGGTATCGGAAGTGAAAAAGTGGTATCGGGACATCCCTAGTTACGACTGTAACCCTAATTCCCCGAGAAGGGAACGAGACATTGCATCTCGTTGCCACACCTATCATGGGCAGAGCGCTTGCTTCATCGCAAAAAAAAAAAAAAAGCTACAAGATGGCATCTCCCGCGAGATCTTCAACTTCCGGTCGATGGATTACCCCCTTGGTGTGTGCTTTGGCGTCCCTTTGTAGCTTACGGTTATGCAGTCATCTACTATGCCATGACGCAGCACCAATCAGGATTGGACAGATTTCATTCATGCTTCAGATGCGCTACGCTGGGGGCATTCCCCAAAGTGTCATAACAATGACGCAGTGTCTCATTCCCTTCTCCGGGAACAAGGGTTACAGTCGTAACCCGAGATGATATTCTTATCTCTCCCCCCATCCCATAGTGTGGAAGAACAGCAGGAGAAAGGTCAATCAACTTCTGGTGCACAGATCAACACAGTTCAGTGATTTTCAGTCAATGCAACAGTTTAATTCAGTTGTTACGTGTGTTGAACAAGTGAGTGTGTGAGTGCTTGTTTTTTTTTTTTGGTGTATGCTCTCTCTCCTTTCCCCTAATCAAGTGTTTACAGGAGCAGCTGTTTTGGAGGGTGGGGCTGATGGACCGTCTGATGGATAAAAGCTGTGTGGAAGCTTGCATTCTTCGAGTTCCCTTTCCTGCTTCACGGTGTCGGTGTTTGAATGAGTGAAAGTTATACATGTTATAGCCACCTGGCTGAGTAGTGTTTTTGGTGAAAATTTAGTGTAAGCTGCTTGTGTGCAGCAAGGTAATTGTTAGTGGTATGTAAATGTTAACCCCTTTTCTGTCTAAGATTACTTGAGAGGACAAAGGCCCTTTGTTTTGTTTAACCTTTTTCTCCTGTTTATTGGCTAGTAGGGAGGTAAGAAATGTACTTTATTTAGTTCCTTTTTAAAAACCAGGGAAGGTTTTAAAAACGAGTCAGGGACCTGTTTTGTTTATTGTTTTGTGGCCAACCAAAAACCCTCTCATTGTAACTTTTGTTAATTTTACTATAAGAAAAACCACCCCTACACACAAGAATAAACCCTGTTTTTCATTTTGAATATCTTTTGAGTCGGGGAGAAGACCAAAATAAACTCTGGGTTTACTCTAAGAAAGTAAACCTGCTCCCAACCAGGTTAGGTTCACAGAGTAAGTTACCATTGTAACGGACTCTGAGTATAAGATACCTCTATTTCAGAAACTGGCTTGACTTACCCTGCTTTCTCAGGTGTGACTTACCTCCTATTCTGAAACAGAAAACCCAGACTTTCCCTCATTTCAGGGTCTCAGAGTGTTTACTTAACCTTCTTTCTGAAACAGGCCCCTGTAAAGGACATTATCTGTTTTCGTTTGCAATGTTAATGCTTTGCACAATGCATGTTCATAATATTGGGACAAATGCAGATGAGAAAGTTTGACTGAATCGACTGACAATATCGTTGCCTGTGAATTGTGCAGAGGAGCCTTCTGAGAACCACCTTTTTGTTTTTCATTATAGTCTGATGTATAAAGATGCAGTTCTTCTAAACTCCCTCCACAGGGATAATAATGGCATGATTCTTTCAAAAAAGCACCAGGCAAAACAAAAAGAGACAATCCTCACAAAGGAGCAAGTGCCAGACAGTATATCTTATGAATCTCATAGCTTCAAAGTCTATTCAAACACACATAAACTGATCAAAGAGATAGCACTCCATGGAAACCTCTTTTTTGCATTCTTCTAATGTGCTGACATTCAGGGATGTATAGAGATGTATTTGAATACCGCTGTCGAACCACATGTGGAATAGAGGGGGGCAAGTAAGACCCTGAGAACAGATGGTATAAACAAATAAAGTCATAACCACATGAGTGACATTTAAGCTGGTCAGTATGCTGAGATTCTCAATCTCTCACTGTACGACTATATGACAGTGCTTCTCACCATCTCTGCGGGGAATTTTATTTTCAATTACATTCTGCATGTTTGAAAACCTTCCAGTAAATGTCAAAAAGTAAATAAGGTGGGAAGCCGTGCACCATGATTCCCTTGAAGATGGAGATTTGGAGTCACATCACATGTACTTTGAAAGGAATATTGGGGCTTATGGTCTCAGTTCGCTTCCAGGTCACTGGAACATTGAGAATCAGCACAGACCAGCCCAACTGCCTGACCTTGAGCCCGAGCCTTTGTGGATAGATCTGACTTCCATAGAGGATAAAAACATACAATGTTTAGCTTGCTATAGTAACGCTAATTCTAACTACAGTGTTTTAGCAGAAATGTATTGGCCTGTTGAACAGGTCCACCATTATTGCCCACAATATATATATATATATATATATATATATAAATCACTGCCATGGAGAAACCAGTCATAAATGCATATTTCATTTCAAGGCTACAATTTCTCATAGCATAGCACTACTTTTCATAGTAAATCATAGCCTACTAAACCAAACCATTGGTTTGAGTATATGTAGTATATGACGAGTTCAGATGCAAAAGCCTCTAAGTGCCATTTGAAATTTTCTTCTAAAATGATCATTTTTATCAAGCTTGTATATTTAAGTTCAGTAATTTCACATGTCATTTAAGTGAAATTACTGAACTTAAATATACAAGCTTGATAAAAATGGTCATTTTAGAAGAAAATTTCAAATGGCCTTTAGAGGCTTTTGCATCTGAACTCTTCATGTATATATATTTACAACAATTAAATAAAATGCTAAAATTATTTCAATATCATTTTCATAAGTTGAAATTTAGGGGTTGGGATTAGGGAGAGCCACCTACAAATTGAAAGTATCCAATAAATTATGATTTTTATTTATTAGGCTACTGATATTTTATATATTATATAGCCTAAATAAAAATCACTGCCATAGAGAAACCAGTCACAAATGCATATTTCATTGCGGCTACATTTTTCATAGCATAACACTACTTTTCATAGTAAATAATAGCAAACCAAACCATGTGTAGGCTAAATTTTACAACAATTAGCCTAAATAAAATGCTAAAATTATTACAATATCATTTTAGATATTGGGACAGCCACCTTCAAAAGTACCAAATAAATTATGATTTTTATATATTAAGCTTAGGCTACTGATATTTTATATACTAAATAAACAAATTGACTTGTCTTAAAACACACGCCCCTCAGTAGGGTTTGTTTACCTGTTTGACAGGACGAACAGGAAGTAGGAGAGGTTACCGGAATGTTTTAACTTAACATCCAAAATGCACACGGGGAAAATGGTACAGAGCACTGTTAAATATAAAGTACTTTCAAGCGATGTGCAGGATGAAAACGACAACGATTGTAATGAAGAAGAAGACAATGAAGAAATTACGATAGATTTCTATTCGTAAGTGACAAAATGAAAGTAAAATGAGCTTGACGTCTGCTGTGCACGTTAATTTTTAAAGAATCTGCTTTATTGTGAAGTGCATTTTTTCTTATGTCGTGGCTGCTTTCATTGATGTTAGAGCGACAACAGGTGCTCTACCCTGCTAGAGACGCGACACGACAAACGGCAACGCAGAAGAACACCTGCATTGACTGTGATCGGATCATCTGTCACGTTTGGCCGCGTCGCGTCGCTAGCAGCAGCAGCAGCAGGGTGTTCCAGTGTACATGTTCTTCTCAATATTATGTAGTTATACTGCTGCCAGGTAGGCTACAAGTTGTAATTCATTTAACTATAAATGTAATGAGTATCATCCACAATTCAAAAATTATTTTTTAATCTTTCCAATCATGCCAACCATGCAGTGTTAACTCAAAATAAATCAGTCAAACCAGTTGACAAAATGGTCTGAACTCTGAAAGTTTTTTTTTTTTAGTAGGGAAAACGTTTTTAGTTTAGTTTTAGGTCAAGAAGCTTGGAAACATGATAAACGTATATGTGTGTGTGTGTGTGTGTGTGTGTGTGTGTGTGTGTGTGTGTGTGTGTGTGTATGTATATATATATATATATATATTAAACCCATTTGACTTGCACACTATATCACATTCAAAAGTCTTTATGTGAGAAACAATACTGTAATTGATAAAATTCAACCAATTGAAGCCTGAAAATTTCAATTAGCATTCACAAATGGCAGTTAAAGCCACTGGTTCTAGTGTGCGCCTGACGCACTGGTTCAGATAAACAACAAGAGCATGAGTAGCGTAGGCCTAAGTATCCCAGCAAACACAGAATGTTCCCCTAATGTTCCTATATGGTTCCCATTTGGCTTTTTTTTTCTGGGGGCTGGGGGACCAAACAAGAACGTTCTAGGTAGGTTCCCTGTATGTTATTTTAGGTTTAATTTTATAACCTAAGGAGAACATTTATGGGAACGTTCTGAGAACCAAAAACTAACGTTCTCAGAACATTCCCAGTAGGTAAAATTTCAGCTGGGTAATGACAAAATTAAATTTTTTTGTCTAAACTATTCATTGTCCAACTTTGCATTGTACTCAGCTATCAGCCAGAAGATCAAAGTGATGGGTCTGCCCATGAATACAGTCCCTCCAGACTTCATTGTTCTTACTCTCTACAGGCCCTTCAGCAATCAGCAAAGACGGATAAGGAAAAGAGACACCTGTATCAGGGTCATGGTGGCTGTGATTCTTCTGGGAATTGTTTTTGGATTTATTTTGTATGAATGGAATTGCTATTGGCCTGGAGTTGAAGAGCGTCAGGACCTGTCACATCATCAGGAGCCTAACAAGACACACAAGACCTCTGAGGATGAAGACCACGAACACCACGAGCATGGAAAAGATGATGACCACGACAAGGACCACAACCACAAAGATAATCATAATCACACTCATGGGCACAGTCCACATCTGTACCACAATGCTGCTATCATCACAGACTCAGGCATGACTCCTTTAATTAACAATGATAATAAAAATGTGTGTTATGATAGAAAATTCATAAATATATTTCAAAACAAATTTTGATGTATCCAGTGTGACCTTTTCTTTATAGCAAACTGCTCCAGTATTGGTAAGAAGCTTCTTCAGGAGCAAGGGAATGTGGTTGATGCCGGGATTGCTGCTTTACTCTGCCTAGGAGTTGTTCATCCACACACTGCTGGATTAGGTCAGTATTGTGTACTTTTTATCACTTCACCTTCATTCACAAATCAGATATTTCATGGGCACAGTCTCGGTTGGTCAGAACAAAAAGTAAAATTCTCATTGTTGTAGTCGAGACCAGCTCATTGGAATCTGAGTCAAGACAAAGAGCAGAAAATGGTTGAATCTCAATCAACAGTTAGCTCCTAAGTCCATGCCAAGTCAAGTCACCTCTATTTATATAACACTTTGATGCAACAAATTTTATTTTGGCTGTACAGCTGCTCTGAAAGAAAATAGTGTTGTTGTCCAGCTTAAAGGAGTAGTTCACTTTTAAAAAAAAACTTTTGCTGATAATTTACTCACCCCCATGTCATCTAAGATGTCAATGTCATTCTTTCTTCAGTCGAAAATAAATTAAGGTTTTTGATGAAAACATTTCAGGATTTTTCTCCAAATAATGCATCGTCTGGAATCGTTTAAAGCCCTTTAAACAGTATGCAGTTTGCACTGAAACTGTCTTTTGGACCTTGAACCGTTTGGTGGCCAGTAAAGTGCATTATATGGAGAAAAATCCTGGAATGTTTTCATTAAAAACCTTAATTTCTTTTCGACTGAAGAAAAAGTGACATGGACATCTTGGATGACATGGGGGTGAGTAAATTATGAACAAAAGTTTTTTTTTTTTTTTTTTTTTTTTAAGTGAACTACTCCTGAACTACTACTGATTCATTTCAACACGAACTTCAGAACTGTATGAATGGCGTTCAGGGATCGACTTATCGAGACTATTTTCTAAGATGGCTTCTGTCTGTATTCGCGAAGTGAACTGTCTATATAAAGTATCTTCTTATTAAACGGTCTGTACACTTACAAAGTTCTCAGTGCTTTGTTTTGCATGTATGGAGCCTCATTATGTTACTCCATTAGTGTGGGGCTATTTTGAGCCATTTTATGGTGCGTTCTATTATTCATCCGTCTCGGAGATCCGAATCGGACGACAGACGTTGCCTAGCAACACGCCCCCTTTCCTCGGATTTCTCCTCTCGGACGTCGGACCACCGTGAGGACACCGAGCAAGAATTCCGTTTCGGAATTCAAGATGGCTGCGCCCTGTGACTTGTAAGAATGAATTGTTTTCATTGTTTTTGAACCGCTTTGGTATTTTAAATGACGGTTAGCATCACTCGTATTACTACGTACCCTGTAGGTATGGGAATCGGTTGTTGTGAGTACAATTACTGACGTTGCTAGCGTTGCGAACAGAAGATTAACATGAAAAACATTAATAAAGTGAACATTTTCAAGTTCAAATGGCTGCGTTTTAATAAAGTGTAGTCATAATAATTTTTTTTTTATGTAAGTGCCTGGTACTCGGCCAGTGCTACCATTTTAACAGCTTTCTGGGTGGCGTCCATTTTTTTATCCGACTCGGGTGCGCAAAACAAATAGAACGCTTGAAGTGTGGACGTGACGTCAAATCCGAGGTCCGAGTCGGTTCGTTGGCTATAATAGAACGCACCATTAGTGATATCAACTAACAATTTCTTTTTACTTAGTAAATGCCCCAAGTACTAGCATTATACTCTAAACAGTTTTTAGAGATAAAACTCTTTACATTCGATTATCATGAAAACAAATCTCAGAGAACGGTTAACTAGGTACCGATGTTTTATTAGACCAAAGGTTCATTTTGCGCTGGAGTTCTCCTTTAAGTGTGAAGATCCCATTATCATGGCAGTATGGAGACGGGTTTTGTTGAAAATATCAAATTAAATTATGGTCTTACACAATCCTTTTTTTGGTCTTGGACTCAAAGGAGTTGGTCTCGACAACAGCACTGCCAATGCTATTAACATTCATCACTGGTTTTGAGATATGTGATTGATTTTTATCTCTTTTCGAAGAGTGATGTAATTTCCTGAAAAAGAAGTTTTAATGTATAACTTCCAGTATTCAGTGTAATTATCTAAAAACACCATGAGAATGTTTTGTTGAAGTGTCATGCATTTCAAACGGTTTAAACAAGTAGTTTTAAAGACTGTCTCTTTAGATGTAAAATAAGGTTTCCCTAAAAACATCCCTTGAATATTTGAGCAGTTTAGACTCTCGTTAATGTCTACAACTAATTACCACTGAATTTGCCTTTCATGGGGTTACTAAAAGCACGTTTTTTTTTTGTTTGTTTGTTTTGTTTTTTTGAGGCTGTTGAATTATTCATTTGTGCTTCCCTTTTCTTCAAGGTGGAGTGTTTTCTGCAATTTTGTACAATCACTCTACAAAATCATTTAAAGCAATACATCACACCTCTCAGACGCCTCCTACATACAGAGCTCCCTCATTATTGCAGGGCCTTCAACTGCTGCACTCCCACTACGGGCATTTGGAATGGAGTCGGCTTTTTGAGGGCGCCACGAAACTCGCTAAAGACGGTTTCCTTATCGATGGAATCCTCTCCAAGGCTTTAAAAGCTCACAAGGACAAAATACTCCAGTCAGGACTGTCCGATCTGTTCTGTGATACGGACGGCCGTGTGAAATCAGAGGGCGACATTGTTGCCAATAGGAATCTATCAGAACTTTTGCTGAGCGTCAGCCTAAATGGCTCCAATTTACCAGAAAAGCTAGGCGTAAAATTGGCTCAAGACATTTCTGAAGCTGAGAGGCCGGCATTCCTTGCTGCCGTTCATGCCGGCAGCGGAGAAATCAATGAGCCCCTTATCTTGGAAAAAGAGAAATACAGGATTCTTTCAGCCCCCTTAAGTCTCACAGGTGCAATGGTATCTAATTTATTAGATAGAGTACGGGAGCAAAACCTCACTTTTCCGAGCCACGGAGATCTCGGTAATGCCGCTGCCTCTTATAATGTTCTCTTACATTTGGCGAATGAATTCTTCAACACGAGTCAGAGAGAGATATTCACATTAAATACCGCAAGCAGTCACGTAGGAGTCCTTGATAGTCACGGCAATTTCATAGTAATCTCCACCTCGCTCAACAGCACATGGGGATCCGGGCAATGCTTACCAAGTAGCGGAGTCATTCTCAATGACTTTACCTCAGACATCACTCGGATGCCTTATTTTAGTTTTCCTCTAGTGCTCCAGATGTATGAAAATGAAGAAGATCAAGACGACGAGACGCTGTTTGTTGCTGTGACTGGAGGGCTTTCTGCTCTGATTCATTCTGTGGTCATGCTGAGAAACCTGGCTGATGTTGGACTGTCTGTTCCTGAGACTGTGAGCAGTCCTCTGCTACATATAGAGCAGGGGGGTCCTGCGTCTCTGTCTGGCTGTATGTCTGTCGCCACAAACAACACTGTTGTCTTCCGCATGCTTTCAGAGCAAGACGGTTGGGTAAAGGAGCTGGGGGAATGTTCAGGTGGCTTTCTGTCCATGCATCTGCAGCTGAAAGCAAAACATGTAGGAGCCTATGGAGCCACTAAGGTTAATGCTGATGGATACTAAGGCAAAAAATAAGTAAATAAATAAATAAATGTTATGCACATTTCACGTATACTCCCCATGGATGTTGTTATACCCAGCCTCACTTTACAGGGAATGTTCTGTATGCGAATGTAATTGTTTTGTAATTGTAATGGTAAAAAAAAAAAAGATGAAAAGTGTTTTAAGAGACAGACTTTCAGCAGTTATTTTTCAAAAATGTAATAGTTCCCCTATGTTGAGCATCCGAGTGCGCATTCACCCTCACTCTTGTTCAGGAAAAACAAACGAAACGTTAAGTGCTGTTTATCCTCTTGCAGGATTTTATTAGCAAGCATCACTTGAACATCAACGATCAGTTCACATGTTTTTCTCAATTCAGAAGCATGAGACGTAAAGAAGAACGTAACGTCATCACGTACAAAACCGTATACCTTCAAATAGAACAATACGGGTAGTCGGGTACCGTAATACAATGTATAAGGGTGCAATACATTTAACACCCTATTGTATCCAAAATGTTTTCTCCTTTTTAGCGTTTTCATAAGCCTTCCTGAGATGTTTCCATATTGATTTCTTTGTTTTGTTTGATCCTGTGAATCATGCAGTGACTATGCAGTGCACAGTGAATCGATTTTTTAGATGAACCTGATGAGTGAAGGACTGCTGCTTTTATAATGTTGTTTTGAACCGACAGATGTTTTTTATGAAGTTTTAAACATCTTTTTCAATGTTTGACTACATGAGAAAGCTAAGTGAAGGGTTTTTTTTTGCTTACAATTGCTGATGTCAGAATTGTGTTTTTTTTTTAGATTAATTAATACAAGATGTTTATGATTTGTACAGGAGAGAAAGATGCATATTTTAGTTGAATTACTAAACTTGGTTGTTTCTTGTTATTTTGTTGTTTGGAAAAACGGTAACATTAGTAATAATTATTTCACGAGTTAGCGATTGTACCATGTGATTGTTATGTAAATTTTTTAGGGGTAAAAAGGGGGTCCTTTTACTAAACGTAACTGAGAGTGTAAACTGCAACTGCCAAAAAAACCACACTGCTATTGAAGCAGATTTTGTGATTGTAAATCAATGTGGGGGTCTATCTTCATTGTGCTGATTGGCTACACTGTCAGTTTTGATTTTAGTTCTTTGCTGTTCCCCTCATCGCCTCATCGTCTCGGCTATGAAGCCAGTAATTATACATCAAGACTATTCCATTTTTGTTTCAGAATCTGTCGTTATTGCTTAAATCTGAAGTGTGTACTTTTTTATATTAAAATGCTTTTTCATGGACCAGCTTTTTATGCAGAGACAACTGTAAGACATTCATAAGTTGATCGCTGCACAACTTTGTGCTGCTTTTAAACTCTTTGTTTGGGCATCCAAAACTGCCCAACAACAACTGCAATATTGGCTCAACAAATGGCATGAGATTGGAGCGGGATCATCAGATTATTTAACCAACAGAAGACAACCGATTAGAAAACAGTCATTATTTTTGCAAAGCTACATTTGATGACAGCCACTACTTTCTCCATCTTTAATACTGAAATAATGCTGGAACGCACAAACTATGACAGAAACCTGTTTTGATGGGTTGCCTATTCTATAGGCTACAATGCACTAATGCCACAGAGCAAGACTTGAGTTGGCTAACGATGTTTGTCTATTAATGTATTATGTAAATTATGAATAAAAAACAACACATGATTTAATGAAACATGGAACATTGTATGCATTTCGATGGTGAACTGTTTAAATATCTTTGTTCCTAAAGCATAATGCTTCTTTCCAGTTTTTAGTTGTTGTTTTTTAGTTGTTTTTTTTTTTTTTCATAGTGTTAGTCACATTTCCTGCTCAACCACTAGGCCTATACTTCATGTTTAGAGAGGGTGTCAGGCTTATAGTAAGTGTTTCTCTTTCTTTGGACTTGTGTAATTCATGTGCTGTCACTCTCTTCTCAGTGGTTGCAAACACATTCATAACATGTAACGCCGCTCCTCTAATTTTTGATGCTGCGCCCAGGCTACTGTCAGTTCAGACTGCTGAGCAGACACCCAAACATTTAAGAAAGCACATGGAATAGATAAGGATTTTAATACCATGTCCTAATTACACTGCAAACTGAGGCACAGTTAAAGGACATTTTGTGAATTGAAAATGATTTTGAATGAGTGAAATAAATGGCTTTCACTATAAGTAAGAAATCTAGCTTGTTTACCTACTCACCATCTAACCGCAGCCAATCTCGCCGTGTCCCTAATCTCAGCATGACATCTCTCATCCATTACCATTTTAACTAAAAAAATTGCAAGATTGCTCTGACACATGCCAGAGCCTTGTGAGACTTATGCCTGGTTCAGATTACACGTTTTTTTTTTTTTTTTGTCTGTTATGATAGTCACTGAGTCAGATTACGTGATTTTGGCTCCTAAAATCTTGTCGTGTCGTGGACAAGACACATGTCAGACTACACGTTACTTTCTGACCAGTCATCGCATGCCGTGTTTAACGGCGCACATGATGTCATCGAGAAGGCGAAACCCGTAGCGAGTGAGTTCCTGGATTGCTCGGCATTGCCTTTTCAGCGTGAGAAATACATGGTGTGGTGTGTGAGTGTGTGAACTGGTTGAATTGTGTGTGTCTCACGGCCATTGCGTGAGACTTTGAAAACCCTGCTCGAAGAGGACAGTATGGGCTGTCAATCCTCCAAAGAGAACTTGAGGTAAAATATTGTTTTCTTATATATTTTTACTTCTAGTTTTAACGTTAGCCTCGTTCTCTCTTTCGTTTTGTCTTTTTTGAAAGTTGTATACGAAAAAGCTTGTGCTCCTATTGTTCAACCTCATAAATGTGACGGAACCGTTGTGAACGACCGTTAAAAAAATTAAACATGCTAGTCTTTTTGTCGTGATGTCCTGAAGCATCGCAGACGCGACATAGGTTGTCGCCCACTATGACACACTACACAAAATGATACGATCGAATCTTGCGTCCCGACGCCCGTTGTCGTTTACGAATCCCCACGACACCCTACGTCAAACTTATCGTGCCAAAATCGCGCTAAAATCGTGTAATCTGAACCAGGCATTAGAGAATGTGTTGTGTCTGGAGAAATTAGCATAAATGCCTATTGCCAAAAAGCACAACGCATTCTCGTCCCAAGGCGTCATCTAACTGACAATTTTGACCATGCTTCAATAGGCTATCTGACGCTTTAGGCACCCTTTAGCGTCAGTTACATGACGTGATCCTAGGGCGTCATCTAACTGACGCTAAAGGTAAAGTGTAATTTAGATGATGTGGGTAGGTTTAGGTCTCGGGTAGGGTAGCACAGGGTTATATGCGATCCTAGGGCGTCATCTAACTGACACTAAAGGGTGCCTAAAGCGTCAGAAATTGAAGCATGGTCAAAATGCTTCCCAAGGCGTCAGTTAGATGACGAGAATGGGCTGAAAAGCAGCTTATCACACATAATGCTGGATCAGAAAATTGAGTTTAGGGAGGGCTTGGTTTGTATGTGGATGTGGGAGGACAGGGTTTACCAAATTAAGGTTCTTAATTGATTATTATCATAAAATTACTTAATTCACGTTGTAAAAGTTTGGGGTCAGTAAGATTCAATGAATGTTTATTTAGCAAGATTAAATTGATCAAAAGTGACCAAAGACTTTTCATTGTTTAAAACAATTTAAATAAATGTTCTTTTGAACTTTCTATTTATCAAAGAATCCTGACAAAAATGTATTAAAGCTTCCACAAAAATATTAAGCATCTCAACTGTTTTCAACATTGATAGGAAATATTTCTTGAGCAGCAAAACAGTTAATTGGAATTATTTCTGAAGGATCATGTGACACCGTGACACTTTTTTTTAACTAAACCCAAACTTTTGAATTGGTAGTGTATATGCCCAAAACATCAGTTGGAAGCAAAGCCATGGTTAAATTCAACACTTATTTGCAAAATCATCACCAGGTTGGGCAAAGCCACAGTTTGCAGCATTGCAGTAAGGCTGGAATTGTGACATTTTTTACTGAAATAATGAAATAAATTACTGGTAATAACAATATGGCATTATGTAGTTACGGTCATAATGTTTAACACTGTTTCTGTGCAATTATAACAGGATTTAATTTCAGAAGTCAATGGATGCACTAAAATTGGTTTCTTTTGTTAAACAAGTTGTAGAAATGTTCGGCCTGGAGTATGATGATAATTATTAATTCATACAAGCAGCAGCATGACATATGATGATTCTTCCCTAGTCAAAGGCAGTTATATATTGTATCATTGTGTGATCTCAAGACAGAAAAACAGTCCTGAAGCTAAAACTGATGTGTGATATGAGAGCACTTTAAGAGAGCTATTGCAGTGATTACATTGATGCAGATGGGCATACCCTACAGGCAAATATCCTCATAAGCAGCATCATAGTAACTGACATACAGATGGTGATGTCATGAATTTTGGAATAAACGATTTATTTAAAAAAAAAAAAAAAATAAAAAAAAAAATCCCAGAGGCCTCTGTTTGCGGTTTCTCATCTCTCCTGTATACTTGGGTATGACAATCTATGAACATTATAGACATCAAAATATGGTGTCATTTTCAAAAGGTACATTACTCTTTCACAGGGCTACATATGAATCCGGTTTGATAGCAAAAAAATAAAATGCTTATTTGTGTTATCAGTTGCTTTTGCTTTAAAATGTCTCCCGCTGATCCTCACTATACAACCGGAAATATGAGGTTATTATTTGAGTATTTGTATTAAAACCTGGTCTTGGCAATGGATACTTTTCTAAACCCTCTATAAATCGACAATCAATTATGCTGCAATACAATGCAATCCAAAGTACAATCTGACATTCCACTGAAAACAACTATACTATACATGTACATGTATACATTGTGACTGGATCATAACTATACTTATATATTTTAAAAAATGTACAGTATCACATTTTTGTGTCTCAGTGCAAAATATGTTTAGAAAGAAAACTAAAAAAAGCAGTGCCCTCAATACATCCACAAAATGTTCTTCCTTTGCATCCTCTAAAAACAATAAAACATTTGGTCATTTGAGTGCCAGAAAACAACAAATAAATTACATGACACATTTTTTTTTTTTAAATGTTACAGTTACTGTCAAGTAGCAGCAGCAAAATCAGCTCAGAAGTTTTAAATAATGCACTAATAACAGTGCATTGCTGTACTGACACAAACCATTCCCAGATACTTACAATGCAAACAATATTAACGATAATAGTAATCCAAATAACAATGACAAAAAAACTTGAACATATATGCACGTTTCTGTGTTTCGGTCAAAAGTTATTTACAGTGCATCAGTAAGTTCTCTGGCTTTGTTTTCCGTGTTTTTATATCCCAAAGGAAGGAGAGGAAAGGCAAATAAAAGTCCACGTCGCTAAACTCCATCAAACATCATCAGCTGGTGCATATGCTGTTGATGGTAATGATCGCTGGGTCCACCAGTCCCATCTCCTCGTGCTCGTTCACACAGAGCTGGTAGCCGCAGCCTCGCCGCCGCTTCAGGGGAGTGACTTTCACGTCTGGTTTGGCACGTGGCGGAAGAAGGAAGCCGACGCTCCCGGCGATGAGCATATGCCAGATGCTGTGGATGTAGAAGTAATTCTCCTCCGTCTCCACGAAGGCGTATAAGGCCACCGCTGATGTGGCAATTGTGGTGCCGGGGAATAGGAAGAAGACCCAGCGCTTCCAGGTTGGCGGGTAACAGCGGCGCCGGCGGATGGTGCGCACAGTCTGAGGAACACAAAGCAGGAGGCACATTCCATCATGAACAAACGCAAGAACAATGAGAAAGACACATGAATTAACAAGGCACACGGGCCAACAAGGCCCTCAGCCACCATCAAGTTTACCAATTGCGGTCGTCTCAATAGAGTTCGCTTAACCGAGTTAGTTCACCCAAAAATGAAAATTATGTAATTAATTACACACCCTCATGTCGTCCCAAGCCCGTAAGACCTCCATTCAACTTTGGAACACAGTTTAAGATATTTTAGATTTAGAAGAGAGTTTTCTGTCCCCCCATTGAAAATGTACGATATACTGTCCTTGTCCAGAAAGAAAATAAAGACATCATTAAAGTAGTCCATGTGACATCAGTGGGTTAGAATGTTTTGAAGTATCGAAAATACATTGTGGTCCAAAAATAACAAAAACTACGACTTTATTCAGCATTGTATTGTCTTCCGGTTCTGTTGTCAATCCGCGTTCATGAGTCCGCATTGACGCTGCTGACGTGTGTCTGGTGCGTCAGTGTATTCGGGTTCAAATAAATATGGCTAGGCAAAAAAAATGCAAGTCTTCCTCTGTCAAAATCCTGAGACATGTTTGCGAAGATTGTTTTGTTTATAGTGTACGTCTTCCTCAGACTGTAAACGAAGCTCGGGCGCACCAGATACACGTCAGCAGTGTCTTACGTCAGCAGCTTCACTGAACGCGGATTGACAACAGAACCGGAAGAGAATGCAATGATGAATACAGTTGTAGTTTTTGTTATTTTTGGACCAATTTTTTTTTTTTTTTCCCGATGCTTCAAAACAGTCTAACTACTGATGTCACATAGACTACTTTGATGATGTCTTTATTTCCATTCTGGATAAGGACATTATACCGTACATACATTTTGAATGGAGGGACAGAAAGCTCTCGGACTAAATGTAAAATATCATTA